AACAGAACATACCATGGTGTATGTCTGCCTCCATTCAGGTCGATCTCTGAAGTTCTCATATCTGTTCAGAGAATTATATGACGCACAAACATCAACAATTAAGATTTGACATGCAGATGTGCCCATTATGTTTACAACATCTCTTTGTTTCTTCTGTTTTATATTCTGTCTGTCATATCACTCTGCKAAACCAGTTTGATGAATTTTTAATGGTACAAATCCACTATTGTCAAATGTTGACAGTATATTTTTGTTGTATTTGATGTGTGTTGATGCCTTTCTTATGCCAGATCAAATCAACTTTAAACAGCTGCAATTCTGATGCACATTTTCTTTTTTTGTTTCCTTCAAACTCAAGATTCAGATGTTTGCCTTACAAGCACCATTGTTCTAAAAAGGGAAAATATCACATTATTTTCATCGCAAATGGCCCCGATGTGGCAACCCTGTGGACTCCAAAAGCACAAACCTTAACACAGAACACTTCCAACCTGGTGGACCAAGGGTTTTCAGTCATTTTGGGATTCAAAACTTACTGTGTCAACACATTTTTGGGCAGATCCATGCTAATAGGCAAATCATCCTTTTTCATTTTTTCCTATTAAAAAACTCCATTTACTCCCTCATCCTCCCAAATCACATCATTTTATTTTCTCACGTCATATTTTCTTTCTTTAAAAAAAATTAAAACAATACTTGAAATCACACTGTGTGTTCTGCAGCCTTTGAAAAAAAATACACCCAGATTATTTTTATTTGAATTATTGTTATTTTTTCCAGAAGAATTCCATTGAAAAGCTTCAGGCTGGGGGAGTCAGGGATTGTGCGTAAAGCCGTTAAATGCACGTCTTTCTACTTGCATCTTAAAAAAAACGAACAAAAAAAAGAAAAGAACAAAAAAAGAGAAAAAAACAGTATGAAGAAATTCAAAGTGGTCGTTTTCTCTGAATAAACTGTGAAGATAAAAAAAACAGAAAAATCAAAAGGAAGAAGGCCACTGTGTGTACAGTGAAGCCATCTGTCTTGTAAAAGGAGCGTGTTGTTGTTGATGTCACCTTTAGCATTGTAAGATGTACAGTGTCAAATAAATATGCCCGTGCAATGTGTAAATAACAGCATGATGATTACTAGTTTTGCTATATGATCCAAAAATAAAAGCAATTATTTTATTAAAGTTCAGTTTTTTAATGGCTTTTTGGCGAGTGCTATCATTTACAGCAGCAAAAGCAAAACGAACGGATAACGAAAAGAAAAAAAAAGGAAGCAACTTAAACGTGTCCCACTCACATCAGCGTGGAGACGAATAAAAAGCCTATAGAGGGAGTTCATCACGACCTCAAATAATTAACAAAGAAACAAAAAAGAAAAGAAGGGAATGAGGAGGAAAAGACACAAAGAAAACAGAAGAATGGAAAAATTCAGAAGGAGGGTAGAAAATGGTAACTGCAGTGATTGATGAGTCACATGATTGGTGGATGAGTCATCCATCTGTACACTTTACTGCACAGGACCACACACACACACACACACACACACACACACACACACACACACACACACACNCACACACACACACACACACACACACACACACACACACACACACACACACACACACACACACACACACACATTCTCTTTGAGCTGTATAGTAATTTAGCTGCTGGCATTCAAGATAAAGATTGAGTCACGTTCACCGCAGCCTGCAGCCTGCAGCCTGCCAGTCGGCTGCTGGAAAGGTGTTTGGCAGATGGGTTTTACTATATCTTGTTTCCACACTCCCCCCTCACTCACATCACAGAGAAAACGTGCCCTCCTGCTCCACTTCATCGAAGTTCTTCTAGTTGGTGCTTGTTTTGTTTGGAAACCAACTTTATGCAAACTGTCAAAGCTAAACATGAACAGCGATGGTCAGAGTCATGCTTCTGTTCCAGGTTTCTTTTAAATAGGACGCATCTTGCTTTCAAATCCTTCTTGTTCACATTTGAATCATTGATTTGGGGTCTATATAAGTGGAACTGCAATGCTTTGGTCTGAATTCCTCCTTTTTGTAACTTATAGTAGGGCTTAGGCATCCTCAGTATGCCATCAAGGCCTGCAGAGGCTTACTATGCAGGACACCAGCCCTTGAGGACTGATTTTGGACACCYTTGCATAAAAGGATAGTTCAAATTTTCTAAATACAAWTCTATTTGAACAAATGACATTTGTTTTCAGAGGTTGAATGTGTTCTGAAACAGAACTTTGTTTAAAAGTACAGCYCCAAACAGCAAATGTCAAATTCTATGACCAAGCAACACCAGAGTGTGCGTTTCCCCACGTCACGCATTCYCCCCCACTCCACCTGTCATATTTAGTTAAGGTTTTTCACAGAGGTCTGGTTTCTGAACCGAAGAAGACCCAACAGAAAGTAGGTATAAAAGGTAAAAGCGTAGGTAAAAAATAAAATAAAAATAGGAATGGATTTTATATTGATGGGTAAGTTGGAGTAGTTTGCATCTATGAGAGGAAYTGAAAGTAGGTCCACACAAAATAGAAATCCAAAGAATATTTTGTAGAAACCAAGAAGTGAGACATGAGGGTTCCAGYAGTTGAAYATGAGTTAATCGGATGAGTAGGGASGGGGCGGGCAATGACGACAGGTAAGTAGGCTGAGCTGACATRTCTGGCTTTGCTTTCAGAGAGATGAATGAGAAGCCAATCACCAAGGGACTGAACAAGGAAGCTGTCTCAKTGAGGAGGCTGAGGAGAACACAGAGCAGAGACACCAGGAGTCCCAGGTGCACTCGAGAATTCCATGAAGGATTCAGTTGAATAAATACTTCTTAGCAAAAAAATTCCACTTACTAAAGTGCCATTTAAAATTAGAAAATTGTTTTTATGTCCCAGCTTTATCCCAAGTAAAAGGGGTCAGAATTAAACTTTGTTTCTCAAAGATGAGGTCATTCAAAYACCTGTCRACAACAGGTAAGATATTAATTGTTCARAACTTTTCCACAGAACCCTGTTTTAAAAGATATTCCTTTTAAAATGTTTAGCATTTTTACTGTTCACACACTGTTCAGTGCCTGTAATTGTGTACACTTTGCAAGAATCAAGCTGCTTGTAACCAAGTTGCAGATTATTTGATCATGTAAACAAGAAATAAAAAAATTGCATATATGTAAACTTAGCACAAAAACTAAGTAAATTAATGTTTGGTAGATTATTTCTTTGTTGTAAAAATGCTTCTTTGGAATAAATCTTACATCGGACACCTGATTAGCAGCACCTGTGGGGTATCAGAAGCTCAAAGAAGTGTCAATAGCAAAATAAGGCGGAGGAGATTTGGCAATTTTTTCATATGCACAACCCACACACTCCTGCTTATCCCACAAATGCATGTTCCTTACAAATGTAACATCATTTAAAAGGGAAATTAACAGACGTTCCAACAGTATAAGACTTATTGCTGAGAAGCAATTTTACAATGAAGAAATACTCTACCAAACAGTTACTTTTTGTCCAATGTCTATATATTAAAAATAAAAAATAAAAAACTCCTAGTTCTACAGTAACTACTTTTAAAAGCATTTTGATTTAAATTTAATTTTATATATTTTTTCAACCCGTCAAAACATTGACTCTAGATTTTATTTACATTTCACTACATTCAATCTTTTCTTTTTGACGGATCCCATTTATTTTGTCGGAATTTGAATTTTTTCTTTCTTTTGTTTTGAGAACAGCTCATAATTTATGTGTTTGTGATGTAAGACAGTCATGTTCAATGAATGTCATTTGTCTTGTCAGAATCGCTAAATAAATTCAAACAATATTTTATTTTCAGCTGCACAATTGCACGACTCCATAAACATTTCCACAACAATGTTTCTTGCATAACACACAAAATTGTATTTGTTTTTCCTCACATAAAAAGATTATTTTTGTGTCAAGCTTTAGATTGCGTTACCTCCTTTTAGTAATCATTTGCATTTTGCCCAGTGGGTGTGCTATAATTAAATTGCAATTTGAAAAAAAAAAAACTGAACAAGGTTCCAACTCTCTGAAGCACAGATTCTGGTGCACACCCAGCTCCTGGCACAGAAGAGTCTGACAGCACAACAATTCATCTTTAATGGCCCCCAGAAACTCATGCATTTACAGAAACAGAAATGAGGGAGGAAATGTCAGCCATTACTGTTTGAATATTGAATAGGGCTCCTGAATGATTTAATTATGATTATGAAAATTGGACAGTGCTGTGACTTTGTTTTAATGTTTAATTTAAACAATAACATTTAGTAAAATGTATCATAAAAATATATATTTGGATGTAAAATCTTTGATTTTTGTAGCCCAGTACATATTCTGACACAGTGAATCCCATTTTGTGGACACGGKATTAGAACCACCAAATTACTGACATAAAAATGAATCATATTAGGTTGCATGGCAACTAATAGTATCCTGTTTGTGGTATTTTTGCAAAGCAAATGGTGTATTTTTATACCTTTTTTTGTTGGGTATTTTTCCTCCTTCCATTTTTATATCTTTTAGGCAGTGTTGGTTTGATGGTCTCGTTTGGCCATTACTTTCTCTGAATTAAGAAGAGTTTGAGATAATTATGGTAACATCGAAAAGAAATAAACTGCACCTGCTGTTCAGGACCGTTTTACCAGTTGGTTCCAAAAATTACTGCTGCCCTTTTTTCTCTTCTTTTTGCCTGTGGGTGTTTAAGCTAACTGAGTGCGGGCTGATTTAGTCTAGTTGGAGCTCTGTTAGTGCTCACGTTGTTTTGATTCACACGTTTCTGTGAGACATTCCTGTTACTGATGTTTAAAAGAGTGCACACAACATTTATATAATCAGATTCATTAAAACAACTGACAGATACTGTTCAATAAAGTGTCAATAGTGTCAACAGTAAAATATAAACCATTTGGCAGAGAAGATTTAGCAAAGTTTTCATGTGCGCAACCCACATACTCAGCTCTACTGCTCATCCCAGAAATACATGTTCCTTACAAATGTTTTAAGCGTTATTGCCAAGACACATTTTTACAACAAAGAAATGATCTATCAAACACAAATGTTCCTACTTTTTTTTTTTTTTTTGCAAAATTTATATTTACGTGATTGATCATTAATCAAGGATTACGTTGCAAAGTGTGGAGAAAGAGGCAGTCCATTTTGGAGAGTAGCTCAAGAAATAGTGGCGTGATTATGAGAAGTAACTATCTTACCTGCAGAAGATGGTCAGAGCAATGTCAGTTTGGAAAATCAGAGAGGAGATCAAGAGCAAATTTCCACCATTAAAATTTAAACTGACAGAATACTATATCAAAACATTTGTCACTATATCATTTATGCATGAGATAAACATATCAATCAACTGAATCTTCTAAATATGGGTCAATTTTTTAAAAATCTTCCGCTTTTATTTTATTTAATATTTTTACCGTTTATCTAGTTTAAAATATATTCAAACTATTTTTATAGTTCCGTAGGTTTTTTGATTAGTCTGGTTGAATGAGTCACAGATAATCAGAGGAACTGACTCAGTGTTCATCAGTGTTGCGACATGATTGTTGTTCAGTTGAGAAAATTGTGATAAATTTTAAAACTCACTCAGAAGAGAATATAAAAAAGAAGCAAAAAAGGTTTATTTATAATCCTCACGAGGAAGGATGTAGTGAGAAGTGTTGATCCATACATTGGTATAAAGGAACTAAAATACACATTGAATATGTTAATATAAAGTATTTCAGTTGCTGATATAAAAATGACTGCAGTGGATATCATTTTGTAAACATCTGCTCTGTGAGCGAAGATGTTTGCAGCCTGAACCTGAAAAGGCTTTTCAAACATGAATCTTGACTCACTTGTGTCCATGTTTGTTGATTCATCTGTTAAACTACTATTGTTGAACATAACACGCCTCATCAAACATGCTTTCAGCAGCCATTAGGACAACAGAGGCAGCGCTGCCTGGGTCTCTCCCACCGAAACGCATCCCTTGTTTATGATCTCTGCAACCCAGGTCTTTTTGCTCACCCCTTTCATCTTTCCCTTGGCTTTCTTTGTCCTGCTTGGTATCCTCTTTTTTCCTGCAATTATCCATGCCTCCCTCCACCACCACAACCTCTCATCCCTAATGCTACCTAACACCCCATCCTCCCCTCTTTTTCTTCTCCATCCTTTCTCCATTTCTTGTTTTGTATGCGAGCTCCAAGGGAGAGAAACGGGTGAAAAAAAAACACTCTCTCTGCACCACTGTCACAAAAGAGTGGTGAGTCATCTCCACTTATGTTCCCGTCTCCCTCCTCCCACAAAACAACACGCATACAGGAGAAACACTCAATTTACCTGCTGTGCACTTACAGGAAGAAACATACAGATGCTGAAGACTCAAACATGCAAGCACAGATTCCAGATCTCCCTGAATAAGAAAACAAGAGCAAAACAATATTCAGGTGACATCAGGCAGGTACCTACTGAGGTTTAAAATGTCATTCACTGATATGGGATTTCTTTTACATCTGTAATAATCACTGGGGTTTTATCAAGCCAAAGTCAGACTGGTGAAATAACACAAAGCTGATCAGAAAACTGCAGATCCATAAATACAAAATTATAAATTGGATGAATGAGAGGAGAAAAAAACAATCACAAGAACTGTAAATCTAATTTTTGGACATTTTTATGCTTCCTAATGGTTTTGTTCACCAAAAATGCTCTACCGCCATCTGCTGGTGGAATTAATGTTGTGCAGCATACCTGGGAAATATGGAGGTAATTTTTTTTAAATGATTATTCAATCAAAAACCAGCTTCAACAAAACAAAAAATAAATTCTATCAAAAATTAATAATTCCAACCAAAATATAATAATTTCAATCAAACAAAAAAGGCAATTTCAATTGAAAGAAATCAACAAGATATTTGCAAAACGTAAATTTTTGGTTGAATCTCAAACTTTTGGGTGATGCTTTAAGTTTTTGGTTGAATCTTTAAGTTTTTGTTTGAACTCAAAAAAGTTTTGAACTCAGAGAATATGAACATCCGGGATGGAATCTAAGGAGCAACAGTGTAAGACGCGTCCCTATTGGTTAGTGTGGACTGCAATGGCTTCCTGTTGTCCTAAGGTAGCTAGCAGTAGCCTACCTCCTGGCCACACATAGTTCTGTTTACTCAATACATGACAATCTGGGAGACAGTTAAGATCATCTCCATGTATGTAGTAGTCTCCTTAGAGAAACATGATGGGGAATATGTGAAATTACTTACTYCTCACTCTCGTGTCGCTCGCTTGCTCTTACTGGCCTTGTCCTCCTGACCAGAACRGAGCTGCACTGTGTTGGGGTCAAAGTTCAAGCACGAAGAGGGAGGGACAACAGGAAACCACTGCAGTCGCACTAACCAAGAGGGAAGCGTCTTACATTATTGTTGCTCCTTAGATCCCACCCCGAATGTTCATGTTCTCTGAGTTCAAAAGTTTTTTGAGTTCAAACAAAAACCTAAAGCGTCAACCAAAAGTTTGAGATGCAACCAAAAATTTCTGTCTTGCAAAAAACATGTTGATTGATTTTTTATTATTATTATTATTTTTATTTTTTTTTTATTGATTTGTTGTTTGGTTGAAATTATTGTTTTTTGGTTGACATGTTTTTATTGAAAATTTTGTTTGGTTGAAATTTTTTGATTAATTTTTTTTGATTGAAGCTGCTTTTTTGTTTGATTGAATATTAAAAACCAAAATTACCTCGATAGAAAGTGCAAAATATATCTACCCATCTACCAATCTATCTACCACGTCTATACCCATTTACAGCGAGTAAAATAAATACTGAACACTTCACCATTTTTCTCAGTAAATATATTACTAGAGGTGCTAATGACATGAAATTTTCACCAGATGTCGGTAACAACCCAAGTGATCCATACATACAAAGAAATCAAACCATAAATGTCCAGAAATGAAGTTATTTGTAATAATGTGGAATGGCACAGGGAAAAAGTATTGAACACACTTKCTGAAATTTATCTAATACTTTGTACAAAAGCCTTTGTTGGCAATGACAGCTTCAAGACGCCTCCTGTATGGAGAAACTAGTGGCATGCATTGCTCAGGTGTGATTTTGGCCCATTCTTCCACAAACAGTCTTCAAATCTTGAAGGTTTCGTGGACCTCTTCTATGAACTCTGATCTTTAGTTCTTTCCATAGATTTTCTGTTGGATTCAGGTCAGGTGATTGGCTGGGCCATTCCAGCAGCTTTAGTTTCTTTCTCTGAAACCAACTGAGAGTTTCCTTGGCTTTGTGTTTGGGCTCATTGTCTTGCTGAAATGTCCAGCAATGTTTCATCTTCATCATCCTGGTAGATGGAAGCAGATTTTTATCAAGAATGTCTCTGTACATTTTTCCATTCATCCTTCCTTCAATTATTTGAAGTTTGCCAGTACCATATYCTGAAAAACAGCCCCACACCATGATGTTCCCACCTCCAAACTTCACTGTTGGTATGGTGTTTTTGGGCTGATGTGCAGTGCCACTTGACCTCCAAACATGATGTGTATTCTGGCATCCAAACAGTTCAATGTTGGTCTCATCTGACCAGACTATATTCTCATTACACAGGCTTGTTTAAATGTTGTGCAGCAAACTTTAAAGGAGCTTCAACATGCTGTTTCTTCAGCAGTGGAGTCTTGCGTGGTGAGCGTGCATACAGGCCATGGTGGTTCAGTGCATTACTTATTGTTTTCTTTGAAACAAACGTACCTGCTAATTCCAGGTCTTTCTGAAGCTCTCCACAAGTGGTCCTTGGCTCTTGGACAACTCTTCTGATAATTCTTTTCACTCCTCTGTCAGAAATCTTGTGAGGAGCACCTGGTCGTGGTCGGTTTATGGTGAAATAATGTTCTTTCCACTTCTGAATTATGGCCCCAACAGTGCTCACTGGAACCTTCAGAAGTTTAGACATTCTTCTGTAACTGATGCCATCATTATGCTTTGCAACAATAAGGTTGTGAAGGTCTTGAGAGAGCTCTTTACTTTTACCCATCATCAGATGGTTCTTGTGTGATACCTGGCCATCATTTGGGACTGAACCAGCTGATATTAACTTGCACTGACAAGGGGCAGGCTTGCTTTCTAATTACTGAGAGAGTTCAGCTGGTGTCTTTGCTTTCCATGCCTTTTTACACCTCCCTTTCTTCATGTGTTCAATACTTTTTCCCTGTGCCATTCCACATTATTACAAATAACTTCATTTCTGGACATTTATGTTTGATTTCTTTGTATGTATGGATCACTTGGGTTGTTACCGACATCTGGTGAAAATTTCATATCATTAGCTCCTCTAGTAATATATTTACTGAGAAAAATGGTGATGTGTTCAATACTTATTTTACCCGCTGTATCTACCCACCCACCTAACTATCCGTCTGTCCACCCATCTATCTATCATCTATTTTCCACAGAGTAACTAATCACTTCAAAATACAGCTCAATTCCTGTAAGTACTGGATATGTACTCTGTAAGTATGAAGTAAGTTCCAGGGTGTACTTTAGTAGATATTGCTATATTGTTTTTACCTAACTTCATGTGCTCATATTTGTTGTCTGTATTTAAAATTTAACAATCTAAAAGCCATAGATAAAAATGTTTGTTTCCACTAAAATCAGCTGGTCATCATTCATCATATACTGTACTTATAAGGTCAACATATCATGAAATATCTTCATTGAGATTAATTAAAGTAACTATGTGAGACCTCTGCAGGTCTCGTCAGGTTTTGCTCACGTCAAATCAGACTCCACCGCGCAGACATCAGAGCCCTCACCTGATTATTCTTTACAGAGACCCGCTTGTGGAGCTATTCAGACACATGAAATATTAAAAGAGTGGAGTTTCCGTTTCACAGACATAGAGGAGAGAGGCAGGCCGGCAGGCGTAAACAGGAAGAGAAAAGTTAAAAACAAAACAGCGGGATTAGAAGGAAATAACACAGCAGGTGCCCTGGGTGGGAGACATATGAGCAGGGATGGAGGAAGAGAGCACAGAAAGGTAAGGCAAGGAGTGGATTAATGTTCACGACTAATCAAGCGTTCACCTTGAGAGTAACAGTAGAAGCTGAGCAGGTGGAAGCAGCTAGTGACTGATTAGCTGATAACCCTCTGGTTCAGCAGTTAGGAGGGCATGTCTTTTAATTTGGCGGCCTTTTTTTTCCCTCTGCAACCTCAGTGGGACAACTTCTATCGAAGCTGAAACACTGACCCAGAACTGTGACGAGGAGGCAGATGATTCCCAAAACTCACAGAAAGAGGAAGGCAATGATGGTGGAGCCAACGACGGAGAGGCAGAACTCGTGGTGGGTCACAAAATGCCAAATAAGGTCCATCAAACTTTTCAACAACAATGAAATTAAATTCATGTGCTTTTGCTCTTTGGTTTGTGTGACTGATGAGGGTGAAGAGGATCTGTGTATCAGGGCTGAGGAAGCTTTGCAGCAGGAGGTTGCAGACATCACAGACACACAGAGGGATGGGGACAGCCTCCTGCGGTCCCACCTGTCAACAGAAGAAGAGATGACTGCCACATCAGCGTCATCTCATCCCTCCGTCACACAGAGTAAGACACACGCCGTACTATTTCAGGATTGTTTCTGTGTCTCTCTCTGATTTACCAAACCTCACATTTACACTTTAACTGCCAAAACTGAATGTCCAACACATATCTTTATCCTAAATCTAACTCAAACGATAAACCCAGCATGTTAACTTTTGGTAATCACTGCACTTTGATTTTATGTTTAAAGGAGGTCTGTGTATTAGAACTGTCCAGTTATCTGTAAACATCTGAGACATTTGTTTGTTTAACCTTGTACTCTTTSTATTTTCAGATCAACCTCCTGACCCATGCTGGTACTGCCTCAGGTCTCTTGACTCAGATAATCGTCCCCAAGTGACTGAACAGGTTGTTCCATTTCTGACTAAATAGGTTATTTTACTGAGACTGATTTAACTCAGAAGTCTCACTTAGTCATTGAATAAGTATTAGTCATAATTTCAAGACTTCCCAATGACCTGCATTTTGGGTAATACAGAGTAAAAAAAAACAAGTTATTTTAGAACTGGGTAGTTTTGTAGTATGGAATTATACTGAAATTATGATTTTCATCAGAAACTGTTTTTCCCCAGCATTCCCCAGCATAT